GTATCCTTAGCAGGGGTAGGAAATTTGGTAAAATCATTGCAAGAAAACAGAAGAGGAAAATGTGCATTCCCTCTTCGCTTCTGCCCTCCCACAGATCTCGCCTTGCTAATGGCTTCCTGTCTGAATTGCCAAAGTTTAGTCAGCATCAGCATCTGGCCCAGAAATGTGACCCTGTGGATCACACTCTATTGCCTTCATCAAACATCAGGGACACATCCATATCTGAAGGGGCCGAGATGGTTTAATGGTTGAGCTGAAGGATCTTAAACTAAAACCTGTTTTCTTACTATCTCTCTGACTCACTAAAAGCTCCTAAACACACCATTTACTCTCTTCTGTCTTTCAGCTTTACCTGTTTGTAAGACTAGAGTCTTGCTACTATACTGACGAGACTCTACCAAAAACTGTCTATAACTTCCTGGTGACAAGAGTCGACACAAACAGTATTTTACAATCCCTTTGCTCCAACAATTGTTTGAGAGTCCAAAAAGCATTTTCTCCATGGCTAACATGGCCTGGGCAAAATTGCTTGGGAGATGCAAATAGTAAAATAAAATGGAAGTGCGGTAATGCCTTTTAAGGGACTAATTATGCTGAACGACAAACATGAGGTTGTGAAATAAAAATTTCACACAGAGGGCAAATAAAATCTGAGCTGTATACAGCAGTTGGAGCAAATTAATCTGACTTTCCTGTGCCACATATTTACCCCATAGAATCACAAGAGCTTGAGAATAAAACATTAAAAGTGAATTTCCTGTTAGAATATAACAAAGGAAAAAACCCTGTCATTTCCTCAGCTGGAAAGGGCATACTTTGATTGAGTCAGGGATTTCAACGAAACACCTTCCTCCCTCCTTCTTTCCGGAGTTTATTATTGTTTAGACCAAGAGTGAGATAAACCAGAGAGGTAAGGAGAGTAAGATGATCAGTATTTCTAGAGCAGAGCTTTTACCCTTTAGCATGTGCTGCATGAAGCCACACCATCACAGAGTGAAAATGAAGTGACCTGATGTTCTCCTTTAATTCCCCCAACCAGTAACCTCCACAGCAGTCCAAGTGGCTGTAACAGCTGTGCTGTTTTTGGCCTCACCCTGTGTTTTCACACTTCCCCGAGCAGCACTAACACTGTAGTGTGTTAAAAAAGACTTGGAAAAAAAAGGTTAAGTCAAAAGAAGACAGTTGTTACCAGCCTTCCCACCTTTAACACGTTGGAAATAGGCCAACAGCTGGGTGCTGGCTCAGCAGTGAATTTGTGCATATTGGGAGACAGCTACATCCAACACTTTTACAGCTGCTGGGCACACATGGCTCTTTGAACTTGCATCCCTTACACGTACCAATACAGTCCAGCTGGCAGGGGACACCACTCATATACAGCCAAAATCCTGGTCATAAAGCATGTTACTCATGTGGCAAAAGAAGTCTTCTTCCCTCCCAGGATTGTTTCCCTGCTGGACCATTTGGAATTGCCAGTCAGAGTCAGCAGCAAGTAAACCAGGCTGGCCATGACAAGTGCTTATTGAATACTGCTTAAGCAGCATGGCACAACTCAGTGCAAGTATTTCTTCAGTGATCTTGGAAAAAGAGAGAAAACAGCTTTGGGCTGAGATACCAGAGATCACAAGGCACTGGATCCTAAGGCGGAAATGAAATGCATTCACATTACTATAAGTGTATTTGTTGCCACGGACCATTTTGACATAGCAGATTCCCTTGCTGAATGCAGTCGCCTCTCTGTCATTGGCTCTTTTCTTCAATTTGAAGTTTCTCCAACTTCAGTCTCTTTTCAGCATTATTACAGTCCTCATTCCAGACCACAACATGATTACAAGTAGAAGAATTAACAAGCTGTCTGCACAAAAGATAGCGGCCCACAAAACTAGACTTTCCCCCTTTCATATACAATCCTAATGCTCTAGCACATGCCTTTCAGCAGAGCAACCCGCTGGAAAGGGCTGGCTCTTGTATCTTTCCTAATTTCAATTTTTGTTACTTCAATCTCCTGGGTAAGTGTTCTGCACTTTTCTTTACTAATATTTAACTTATATATTTAAAAGCTTTGTTAAAAAATTGTTTCAAGTGATTCTTTTGAAGTTTGATCATTTCTTTCTCTGGTTTGACTACTGCAGTTGCTAATTTTTAAGATGTACATGTTCCTTTGCTGCACTGTTTATTATCTTCTGTCCCACAGACATCTCTCCTTCCCTCATGAAGTACAAATGTGGGTCTCTCTCATCACTACCACCTACACAAGTCCCATAGAGGAATGAGATCTGCTGCTTGGTTTCCAATGCTCTTTTTTTTTTATTTCTTCCTTCCTGTAAATCACCATAGTTGTGCCCTTCTTCACAAGAGCATGAAGGATTTTTCCCTGTTCTCCATTGCCTCTGCCAGTGCCTGCTGTGAAGCTCACACCTGGGGTTGCTGCTTTCAGTTACTTACTGCATACTGGAACGAGCATCACCTCACATCTGTCTTCATGGCTAGATACAGTGCTCATTCAACTACACCTAAGCATGTTTAACTCAGGGAAGTCTTCAAAGAGTCAAGAATGACTGAGGAAAACCAGCAGCTCTGAAGCAGCAACTGGAGCAGAGCCAGCAGGAGCCTGACCAGCAGTTGGCTGGTCCTCATAGTTTTTTAAGCTCAGTCAGTATTTATCCTTGCAGAAGCAGAAAAGCTGTGAGGCTTGAGGATTTCAGATACCTTTGTCCATAGGAAGCAAGTGAAACCCTGAAACATTTTTCAACTTACACCACATCCCACGCCTTCCACAGATGAGAGTACAAGGAAAGGCAGGGGCCCAGGAGAGTAGACTTCCTCCTCTTCACACAGAGATCAGCCTAGTCGGAAGGAAATGTCTACTGCTTATCTCCACTTCAGAAAGCAGACACAGCCTGTGGTGGAAAAACATGGACAAAGCCCAGCAGAAATCCCGAGGGCGAAAAGAGTGACTATGACTCAAAACGCCTGGCTTTTTTGAAGCCATGTTTTCATGCCACACAAGAATTTGGCTCCAGACTCCTGTTCATTGCACTCTTGACAATAAGGAAGGTCGGCTCACAAAAAACACATGCCTGAAGGCGGTGTGGCAGGAGGGCATATTCACAATGCACCCAAGCTCGCCTTGTGCAACTTCTTTCTGAAACACCAGGCTTTCATTCCCGTTTCTAAGATTTTCACTTTCTCTTTAAAAGGAAAACTGAAATTCTCAAAAGAGCAACTGCATGAGGAGATTGGGCTTTCTGGAAAAAAAAAAGAACAACAAAAAAAGCCCTCAAAAGCCCACATTTAAAGTCAAAGTCTCTAAAATTATGAGATTTGACAATAAGGCTTTCATTCTTATGGTAACATGCAACTATGCAACATGCAGCTTGATTTCTGCAGCCAGTAGATATTCAAAATACTTTCCACATACAAGAGGTGTCAATTTGACTTTATTTAAGGAAAAACGGGGAAAAAACAGTAATTTCCATAATACACAGAAGACAAGTTAGATAGCACTGCAAAAAAAGGCTGAGTGTTTTACTTGTCACCAGTCTGCTTTGCAGCTCTACGATTAGTAATTTTAATGCAGTTTGTCATTTTGTATTATTGTTTAGCAACTTTATAATCAGCAGAGTTTGGGGTTATAAATCACAAAAAGTGTACTACTACTACTATGAAAAACTAAAAAACCCACAAAAATCACTTTCAAATAAACCATAAATATGTGATGCACATTAGTGTAACAAAACCATTTTTGTAAACATTTTCTCCAACATAACAT